AATAAGCAGATGCAGAAGAATACACAGACTTTTTAAAAACTGTGTAAGTGAAAAGAGAACTAAAAGGAAACCAAAACCAAAGGCTCCTGGGAAAAGATTAATTAGTTATCTCTGAAAATATCTCTCCTTTTGGTAAAGAAGTAGGGGGCTTCTGACCATGAGAGAAGGTTGTATACATTGTCAGATGTGGTCCCTATTATCAGTTGTTTTGCTTAACTCTTTTCCTTTGTTATGAGAAGGTTCAGTTTTTCTGGGTCAAGGTGAAGTGTTATATGTGAATATTTGGCAATGGCACAAAAAGAAATGAAGCATCCAAGTTGGGCCTTTCAGAGCTAAATTTTCTAACCCAATTAATATTAAAGCAACTAAGCATCAGTCTTTTGGGAGAAGCTTTAAGTGTAAAGACAATAAGGATCTAATTTTAGTGTGAAAATTGACTAAGTTTAAATGCAAAATTTAAGATACCCAATAGTATCTTACTTACTTACAGTATCTACTTAACCACTTAATGTATGAAATATTGATCCACCTCTTTTGCCTTTCAAATTTCAAGTAACCAAAGCATATGAGGCACAATGGGGTAAGACTCAAAGCAACTAAAACAGTAAAATCAAATCTACATAAAGTTCATAGTCAAGCTGCTCAGGTTTACTCTTAGTTTATGCATAATTCTAAAAAAATTTCAGTTTGTAGATCTTGAACTCATTATGTCCCAAACTTAACTTTTCATCCTCCCCAGACCCTGCTCCTCTATCTTGACTTCCCTTTTTCTGTTAAATGGCATCAATCTTCTCCCACTCACCCATGCACAAAACCCTGGCAGTCACTCTTTCTGTCATACCCCTCCCATCTAGTCACTAAATCCAGCTGATTCTACCTCTATTATGGCAATGTTCTCATCTCCTCTCTCATTCTTATCAACTTCCTGGTCCAAGCCTTCATTCTCTTTCACTAGGACTAGTCTGTTCATTTCTAGATACCACCTCCTTAAAATCCAAAAGCTGTAACTCCTTATCCAGGGATAGGTAGGCGGCACAGTGGATAGAACACTGTGCTGGGAGTCAGGAAGACCTGAATTCAAATGCAGCCTCAGATACCACCTGTGTAAACCTGGGCAAGTTAGTTGTCTCATCTTTAAAATGAGGGTTAACCTACTTCCCAGGGTTCTTGTAAGGCTAAATAAGATAGTATTTGTAAAAGGGCTTAGCAAATTTGCCTGGCACATAGTAGGCACTATATAAATGCTTTTCCCTTCCCCTTTCCCCCACCCTCCCTTAACCAATAAGTCTAACCTCTCTAACCTTTCCAGTTTCCTCCCATTACTCATTCCCAATATTTCACCCCAACCAGTCAGGACTGTCACTATACCCCAAACACACCCCTGCACTTTCCTGTCTTGATGTGTTTGCTCACAAAATACATTATGTCTGGAATGCCCCAACCCTTGCCTCTGTTGACACAGGACTCATTCTTCAAGATCTAGCTCAAATGCTACATGAAAGCCTTTCCCAGGTACGCAAGGGACTGGGTTGAAGTTCTGTATAACTCTTTATTGATCATCAGTTCTTCTGACCCCTGTAACTCTATGGAGTGGGCATTAGAAGTATTATCCCCATTTTACAGGTGAAGAAACAGAGGCTATATGCTCTACCCCTTCTCCTCAACTGCCCCACTCAGTAAGAAGAGGTTAACCCTTTGCATAACTGGGTAGTCTTTGAAGTAAAAGATGAAGTTCTGTCTTACCACACAGCAATTCTAACTCAGAACGAGTCAGTCAGCAAGCATTTATTAAGTACCTATTGTATACTGGACACTGTGCTAAATGCTTGGGATAGAAAGACAAAAGCAGATAGGAGCAAAAATTTGGAAAACTATGTCAAAAAAAATTACATATGTGCAGGATAAATTGGAGATAACCAATAGAAGGAAAGCTTCCTATAGAATTTACCAGGCATATGAAAGAAGACAGGAAAAGCCTGAGGTGGAAAAAAAAAGAATTCCAGGAACAGGAGATAGCTAGTGAAAAATGCATGGAGGCAGGAGATGGAGCATTTTGTGCAAAGAATAGATCTTGGGCATAATCCTATGTTTCACTTATTTCCTCTCCCTACCATTCCTAATTTCCCCCTTTATTAAATGCTCCCAACTTGTTCAGAGAAAGAGGACTTGTTTAAGCAAATATTTTATTTTTTTTATTAATTTATTTTGATTTATCAACAATCACTTCCATAAGCTTTTGAGTTTTAAAATTTTTTTCCCCTCCCTCCCCAAGACAGCACACAATCTGGTACAGGCTATATATATACACATTCCTATTAAAAATATTTTCACATTATTGATGTTGTAAGGAAGAACCAATAGGAGAGAGCTGGGTAGAGCTCAGGGTTACATACCTCTGAGCCAGAGGTGAGGCTCAAACCCCGTCTTCCTGGTCTATTATATGTCATGTTTATTGCCTTTTCAGTAACCTGAATAATAGATTATAATAGAACCAATAGGAGGAATCACAAGAAAGAGAAAACGAACAAAAACCAGATGAAAAAAATAGCAAATAGTATGCTTCTATCTGCATTCAAACTCCACAGTTCTTTCTTTGGATGTGGATAGCATTTTCCATCATGAGACCTTTGGAGATGTCTCAGATCCTTGTATAAACAAATATTTTTGTGTTTTTTGTCTGCCACTTGCAACTGGCCTCTCATTTGTTCAGAGCTCACATACAAAACCCTCAAAGAAACCTTCACAACTCCACAAATGGCTGAAGCATGTAAAAGGGTGTCTGTTTCCCTGAGGTATCTGTACTACTACTACTGTAAAAGAATGCAAGGAGATCATAAATTCCTGAGTTTGAAGGAACCATCAGTTTCATTTCACAAATGAGTAAACTTATGTCAAGTTAAATGACTTCAAGGTAACAAGTATAAAAAGGCAGTAATTGTTTAAAAAACAAAACAAAACCCTCTTAATCCCTTTAAATAGCATTTAAAAGTTTACAAGATTGTGCAGCATTATTATACTACAGATTAGGAAGCTGAAGGCCTGGGAAGTTAAACAGCTTGCCCTGATTACAGGGCTGGTGTGAAAAAGGACTCAGTTCCCAGCCTTTTTTGGTCAGGCTTTGTGGGGGTGGGGTAGACCACCTGGTCCAGACTCAATTTCTGGCTCTATCACCTCTATGGTCTTGGGTAAATCACACCTTTCTGGAGCCTCAGTTTTCTCATCTGTAAATGAGAGGGATGACTTCTGAATTACCCTTTCAGCTCCAAATTTATGATCCTATACCTTGGAATCCCGTGGTTTAAATTAAAAACAAACAAAACTACACACACAGCCTTTGGCAGAACTGCCATCAGCCTCTCCTACTACCTGACTAATAGGGATGGGGATTGCACCTGTGATTCCCTCTGGGCTGAGCCAATGCAGGTTGGCACCCTTTCTGCATCTCTCAGTCTCACAGAGAGCTGAGTGGAGCTCAGGGTTACACACCTCTGAGCCAGAGGTGAGCCTCAAACCCTGTCTTCCTGGTCTATTATATGCCATGTTTGTTGCCTTTTCAGTAACCTGAACAATAGGTTCCTGAAGTCCAAGCCTCCACTCACAAGGCTGGCTCATCTAGTAGAATTTCTCTTGAATAGCTTATTAGCATGCATTCTCTAGCCACATTTTCAATAGGACCTTCAGGACACAAGTAGCTACCCAATTCTAGCCTACGTGGTTTCTCTTTAATCCAACAAGGGACCAAAATTTCAGTCTGAAAAGCAAATAGCTGTAGAGAGAATTTCAGAACTATACTTCTTACCCCAACCCGCCCAATAACCACTGGGGAGATTAATAAAAAATTATAATACATAATATAAATAATAATATGAACAAATGTATAAATAAATTAAAATGTTTTATCATATAACTCAAAAAGTAGCAAATCTGTTAATATTAACATATTTACTCTTACTTGGAAAACAGTCTAACTTAAGTCCTAGGCTCTAAGATTCATCATGGGACCAGGGATTGCCTTTTTTTTTTTTTTTAAATAATTTATTTATTTACGGACTGCTAGGTGGCACAGTGGATAGAGCTCCAGCCTTGGAGTCGGGAGGACCTGAGTTCAAACCTGGCCTCAGACACTTGACACTTACTAGCTGTGTGACCCTGGGCAAGTCACTTAACCAGAATTGCCTCACCAAAAAAAGGCAAAAAAAAAAAATCCTTTTTAGTTTTCAACTGGACCAGAGATTTCTTGAAGGCTTTGTTGAAGACTATGTTGGAGAAGCCCAAATTCTAGCAGGTTCTACCAAACTGGAAAGGGTATAAGTGGGATGACAGGCTGACATTAGATGACAAATGGCACCATCAACTGCAGGCCTTGGTTCCTAAGCATGCAACTTGGGCACATCTCTCTGCCTGTTGCTTGGCTTAACAGAGAAAGGTTTGTTTAAACCTTTGCTGAACTTTTTGGTCACTTTAAGTCATTGAATTTCAGAGCTGGAAGCCACCCAGTCCAAAAGAGAATGCTTCTCATAACAAACCCAACACCCAGCTTTTGCCTGAAGATTCCCAGCAAAGAGGATTCATTATATACTGGGTCAGCCCATTCCACATTGAGCCCAAATTTGTCTCTCTGTAACTTTCATCCATTACACTTGCCAAACAGAAAAGGTTTGATACTTTTTTCCATGACAGTATTTAAGGTTAAAGACAGCTATTAGCTTCCACTAACCATGCAGAAGGGCTGTACAACTGTAATGTTAGAAACAAGACCCAAACCCATGAATTCAAAAAGGATGTCAAGTATTTAAGTAAACTGTGACATGAATACTCCTTTCAATAACTCCTAAGAGAAAAAGCTCTTATGATTCAAGAAAAGAATTTCACAAGTGGGTCACCACCACGATTTTAAGAGTTAAAGTTACAATACATCCAAATCTGGGAAAGGACAAAAAGAAAAAAGGAAACCACCTATATTACATCCATCTCTGAGATCAAGAAATGAAAACATTTACCTTTCCGTGCCTGCAAAGTCAGCTTGTAGAAAGGGAACAGTATCCAGGTTTCTTGACTCCAAGTCCTCGATGATTGGTTCACTACAACATCTTGACCCTCTGATGAAGATCAACATTCATTCTAAAAGAATAAAGTGCAAATTATTGTTCAACACAACAAAGAAGTGTCTGTAATGTTTTATCAATGGTAACATAGGTCTTTCACGGTTATTTGTCAACAACATATTTAATCCTAGCCACAAAATCAAATAGCTAAAATATTAACCTTATATATACTGTGCTAAATATAGAGATATCTTTAGTAAAAAATTTGAAATATCATGGGCTGACCATTCCTGAGTTATGCATTAATGTAGTCAGGATAGTTTCAGCCAAAATACTGTTAAGAAGCTATATCCCTGAATTTACATTAGGAAAAGAAAGTATCAGGGCAGATAGGTGGTGCAGCAGATAGAGCTCTGGCCTTGGAGTCAGAAGGACCCGTGTTTAAATCCAGCCTCAGATACTGGACACATACTAGCTGTGTGACCCTGGTCAAGTCACTTAACTCCACTGACTAGTAAAAAACAAAAAACAAAGTATCTAAAGAAACTGTCATGTAAATTCCAAAAGACTTATGATGGAAGAAAATGCTAGCCACATCCACAGAAAGAACTATGGGGTCTGAATGCAGATTGAAGCATGTTATTTTCACTTTTTTTCCCCCAATTACTCTTTCGCAACATGACTAATGCGGAAAGATGTTTAATATTGTCCATGTATAGCCTCTATCAGATTGCTTGCTGTCTTGGGGACGGAAGGGAGGGAGGAAAAAAAATTTGGAACTCAAAACTTATAAAAGTGAACGCTGAAAACTATCTTTACATGTAATTGAAAAAAAAAACACTATTAAGTGGGAGGGAAAAGAAACTATCATGTAAAGATAAACATATATCACAAATTACCAAAACCCCACAAAACTAGGCTGACATAGCACTAATTAAAGTAGAAAAGGGAAAAACTCAGTTGAGAGTAGATTTAACAATGTAGGTATTAAAAGGATAATTCATTTAGCCAGAATGAGGAGGATCATTTTCCAATTTCTTCATGCCTTCCCTGCCCACGCCATCCCCGGGACCTTGGAATTCTTGCCCCTGGGTGCTGAGTTCTGAGGGAATAAACTTTCATTTCACGGTAACCCTCTGTACTGCCCTGAATTTCTAGCTCCCTTTTATGTGTTGTCTTCCTTCACTGTAAGTTAAGCTTCAAGGCAGCGGACACTCTTGCTTGTTATTTGCATCTTTCACACTTAGCTTAGTGCCTGGCATGTAATTATTTAATAAATGCTTTTATTATTTTTTAAAATTATTTTTATTTGATGAAAAACATGAAGAACAGATTCTTACAAATGTTTGTACCAAAACTGAAAAAACCCTGAAGTTATAGGTGACTGAAGAAAAGCCTGTCTCTGGGCTCTGTACTGTGTCCTCTACATGATATTCAATGAAATCATCCAGTTAATCCCTAGAAAGACAGCAAGCCAGGTTATGAAGAAGGCATCACCATCAAGTAGTGATTTCTGAAAATCAAATTAATACTTCATGGAGCTATTGTGACAATCAAATAAAATCATGTGCTGCAAAAGCACAACATAAATGAGTTATACAAATTTGAAAGAGTCACCATGGGAAGCAATACACTGATTCCAAGAAAACTGTCATCGCCCATTACTCTCTTTAAATCTTCCAAAGCCTATGGCAGATTCTTTCTAATATCATTAACTGTCACAAAATGTTTTTCCTTTGAGGCTAAATTTAACTTTTAGAAGCAACCAAAAAGTTTATCAAAGCCTAGCATGGGAAAGAATTCTGCTCAACATGATTTTGGTTCAAAACAAACAAAAACCAACTAAATGAATAAGATAACACCCAACAAGACCGCAACCATAAAATAAGTCTTTTTTAAAAAAATAGCTTGTAAACAATTACAATGGCATTCCAAACATATTTGGGGGCATTAACAATAGCCTCATGTGAATACTGAATAAGCATTCAGTCTCCTCCATCTAACAGGTCAACATTTATTTGGATGGATAAGCTCTGGTCTGGTTTTGTTGTTGCTTTTTAAAGTCTTATGACTTTCCATTATCTTTACAGATCCAATTTCCTAATAAAAGCAGGGGAAAATTACTGGCACTGTGCCTAGCATAGTGAAAGCTCTTGAAGAGGAAGACAAGGATAATAGTCATAAGATAAAAGGACCAAAGAACTAAGTAGTCTCAAGATTAGGACACTGTACGAGAAGTAACAGGTTTTTTTCTGGCCTTACCACAAAATTTAACTTGATTCTTTTAAATTTACTTTTTTTCATTAACAAACACTAATTTTCTCCTTCCATCTCTCCCAAATAAAACAAATGAACTCTTGTTACCTTATTCTGCACTCTGAGTCTATCACCAAGGTCGGGAGGTAGGAAGCACTGCCTACTTCATCAGTCCTCTGGAATTCTGATTGGTTTTTGGATGGACAGAACTATGTCTTTCAAAGTTGTTTGTCTTGATAATATTGTTATCATATAAAATGGACTAGTTTTTTTCCCACTTCACTCTGAATCCATTCATAACAAAATTTCTCAGATTCCTTTGAAACTACATTTTATCACTCATAGGGCACAACACTATTCCAACACATTTATATACTGTAACTTGTTTATCTATTCCCCAAATGATGGAAATGCTCTTAGTTTCTAGCTCTTTGCCATTCCAAAAAGGCTACTGTAAGTTATGTGCATATACGGGTTTTTTGTTGTTGTTTTTTAATCTCTTTGGAGGTGTCAGTCCGCCTAGTAGTGGTATTGCTGGGCCAAAGGGTATGCACAATTTAGTGACCTTTGGGGCAAAGTTCCAAATTGTTTTCTAGAATGATTAAACCAATTCAAAGCTCTAGTCAGTCAATAAACATTTATTAAGCACCTACTGTGTGCCAGGCAGTATTAAGCACTAGGGATACAAACAGGCAAAAAAAACAGTTCTAGCCCTGAAGGAGCACATAACCGAATGGTGGAGATAAACAAATTTGTATTTACAAGAGGGGACGTAATTAAAAGAGGAATTAAGAGGGGCTGAGAAAAGCTTTCTGAAAATGACTTGAAGGAAGCCAGAGAAATCAGTAGGTAGAGATAAGGAAGGAGAACATTCCAGGTAGGGGGGACAGCCAGAAGGCCAGCTTCACTGGACTGAAGAGTACCCAGTGGGGAGTAAGGTATAAGAAGACCAGGAAGATGTGTGTGGGGTAGGGGGGGAGTTGATTCCCTAGGTCATAAAGGGCTTTGAATGCCAAATAGAGGAGTTTGTTTTTGATGAGATAATTGTAAAGCACTTAACACAGTGCCAGGCACATAGTAAATATTAGCTATTATTATTATTATCATCCTGGAGGTAAGGAGCCATTAGAGCTTACCGAGCAGACAGGTAACAAGGTCAGGCCTGCACTTCAGGAAAATCACTTTGTGGCTGAATGGAGGATAGACTGAAGTGGGGAGAGACTTAAGGCAGACTCACCACCAAGCCTATTGCAACGATCCAGGTGTGAGGTGAAGAGGGTCTGCACCAAGGTGGGGGAAGTGTCAGAGAAGAGAAGCCGGTGTATTGGAGAGATGTTGCAAAATTGAAATTGATAGCTTTGGCAACAGCTGGGATATGGTGGGTGAGAGATAATGTGGAGTCCAGGATGAGGACCTGAGAGACTTGGGAGGATGGCCTAGCCCTCAATAGTTCCAACAATAATGGATTAATGTGTTTTTTTTTCTCTTGCCACCTCCCTCAATATTTGTTGTTTTCCTTTTTTGTAACCTTTGCCAAACTGATGGGTGTAAGATAGAACCTCAGTGCTGATTAATTTGTACCTCTCTAATTACTGATTTACAGAATTTTAAAAACATGGTTTGTAGCTTGGATTTCTTCCTCTAAGAACTATGTTTTTGACCACTTACCAATCGGGGGATGGCTCTTATTCTTATAAGTTTGAAACAATTCTTTATGGATCATAGAATCAAGATCTTTATTGAAAAAAACTTGCTGGAAAGTTACTCTTCATATTTCAGCTGCATTGATATTGTTTGCGGAAAAGCTTTTAAAAATTTTACGTAAAAAAGTTTCCATTTTCCCTTCTATGATTCTATCTATCCTTTGTCCAGTCATAAACTCTTCACCTGTCCACAGATGTGAAAGGAATTTCGTAGCTCCTATTCATATTTTCTTCCTTATTCCTCTCATGTGTTTATGTAACCTCTGATATTTATTCATTGGAGATATTGGTCTAACCTTAATTTCATTCTTTAACCTATCTGTTCCTCTATTTAATAATACCTGCTGCCAAAAGCTCCTTCAAGAGGATACTGGGGTTAAAGAAAAATGTTTCAATAGAAGGGATAATGCAAAGCATATGAAGCAAGAAAAGGATACCAGACTAAACCAGACCTCATTATTATTTCCAACAACAAAATCATACCAATGACTGAATGTAGTTTTCAGTATGTCTATCTTTACAAAATGAAATAGGAGTGCTGAGGAGTATAAGTACATATAAGTCAAGAAGGAAGTGTTGCAGAGAAGTTTGTGATCCTAATGTGGTAGCAGAGAGAACTCCAAGATTCAGTCCTCCTGCACCTGGACTAAGCTTTAGGCAGAGCACTTTTATCATTAATCTTCATTAGATGAAGAACACATTTTTCTTTCTAAGGATGTCTCAAATTTCACCCTTTTTGCCCTCTCTGCAGCACATGATGCTGCCCATCACGCTCCTTCTGGATACTCTCTGCTCTATGAGTTTCTGCAATACTGCTCTCTCTCCTAGTCTTCCCACTACCTGATTGCTCGGTTTCCTTTTCTAATTCTTCATCCATGTCTCACCCACTAACTGTGGGTGTCTCCCAAGGCACTGTCCTGGGATCTCTTTCCTCTCTATACTAGTCCACTTGGGGTTCAATTATCATCTTTATGCAAACAGACCCAGATCTATATGTATATCCAGTCCTAGTGTCTCTGCTAACTGCAGTCATGCATATACACAACTGTGACTTGAAATTCTCCATCTCAAGATGTCCACAAGAGAACTCATTATCTTTTCTTGGAAACCCTCCCCTTTTCCTAACTTTCCTATTCCTGTAACCCCCCCAATCTCACAGTCACCCCCCTTCTGTGTCATCCTCAACTCTCTCTCTTTTTTTTTTTTTAGTGAGGCAATTGGGGTTAAGTGACTTGCCCAGAGTCACACAGCTAGGAAGTATTATGTGTCTGAGGCCGAATTTGAACTCAGGTCCTCCTGACTCCAGGGCTGGTGCTCTATCCACTGCGCCACCTAGCTGCCCCTTCAACTCTTAATCTGTTGTCAAGTCTTGTTTCTATTTTCACACCTCAAAGTACTTTCCTTTGTACTCACACAGTCACTTCTCATTTGGACCCTTGCAATAGTCTCCCCACTTATCTTTCCCCACTCTCCATCATCCCCCAGTCGGTGGCCACGGTAATTTTTATGAAGTATTGGTCTGACCACCTCATTTCATCGTCCCCATTACTTCCAGCATCAAATACAAAGCCCTGTTCCACACTCAAAGCTCTTCACAGACTCAACCCTTCCTAGTTTTCTTGCAGCCAGCTCTCGTCCATGTGTAGGCCCACCTTCACTTCCTCCAACAAGGCAACCTTTCTCCTGCCTCTGTCCGCTGGTAGCTGCCCAGACCTGGAATGCTTCCCTTGTTCCCCACTTCAGCCTCTTGGCTTCCCTGGCTTTCTTTAAAACACAGTACCAAGTATCCCCATCAGTAGGAGGCCCTTCTGGTGCCCAGCTAGTGCCTTCCTCACTCAGGTTATCTTCCGTCTACTCTGTATATGTCTCATTTCAGATGTAATGGGTTATCTACATGTTATCTAACACACTAGGATAAATGCTTCTTGAGGGGAGGATGTTTTTGTTTTCCTTTGAACCCCTAGAACTTAATACAGTGCTTGGCACATAGTAAATGCTTAATGTTTGCTGATTAACTGAATTGAGGCCCATTTTCTTCAAAAGTTTTTAGCTCTACATAAAATTGTCATTTTCTACTAATTAAAAACTGGATAGCACTATAATGTGTTGCTAGGGCAATTCAAAAAAAGATGTAAAAAGGGCAGCTAGGTGGCACAGTGAAAAGAGCAGAGGCCCTGGAGTCAGGAGGACCTGAGTTCAAATCTAGCCTCAGACACATAACATTTACTAGCTGTGTGACTCTGGGCAAGTCACTTAACCCCAATTGCCTGCCCCCCCCAAGTACATAAAAAAGGAGAAAAGGACCCCAAACTCCAAAAACCCAGGGCTTGAATGAGAGCCCAGAGGACACAATCCTTATCTTAGCCACCTAGGTGATTCACAAGAGTGCTGGGCCTGGAGTCAGGAAGACCTGAATTCAAATATAGCCTCAGACACACTAGCTAACCATGGGCAAGTCACTTCACCTGTCTGCCTCGGTTTCCTCAACTGTAGAATGGGAATAATTACAACATCTACATGGCAGGGTTGTTAGGAGTTTCAAATGGTATATTTGTTAAGTGTCTGGCACAGGGCCTGGCACATATTCAGGTACCATACAATGCTTATTCCCTTCCCCTAAAATGGCCAGCACTGAAAAATTAAAATTAAGTCCAAAGATTTGAACCAAGACAAGAAATCTCTTCTCAGGACCCCTACCAAGGGCAGGAGACGTTAAGGGAAAAGAAAAGTGGACTGTACAGAAATTTTAAAATAATATCAATGAACAAGTCTATAAGTGCTTTGAATTTACAACTCATTCACCCAGAACCTTTATAACTAATCCATTTCACTATAATATACAGAATTATTGATATATTGGTCATTCTTACCCCTTGAGTACATTACAGGTTTTCTGAAGGCAGAGATGACATTCTAATCTAAACTTAGTATCTCCTAATACAATACTCTACACACTCTAAAAGTCTCTCCTGGGTTATCAGAGCAAGTATTTTCATTCTAATGATGGAGAGAAAGGTGAAGAGCTAGTACACAGAAGCATCTGGAACATAGGCTGTGGGGGTTTTTTTTGTTTGTTTTGGCATTGCTGAACTCATCAAGTCTTTAAATTATGAACAAAGAATATAAAACTAAGATGTTTTAAAACAGTTATATGCTTTAATTTCATACTATACCTAGTTAACAAACAGAGGAGATGACAGAAAAGGGGAAGAGAGGTTAAATAAACAGTAACAGAAAGAAAAATATACACACACTGTAAATGGAAGGATTCGATTTAACTAGAAGAAAACTGAAGCTATCACTTCAGCAATGTCTCCTAAAATCTCATTTAGTAGATGAAATGTAAACTATTAACTGCTCATTATTCATTCAGAAACTTTGCAGTGAATGGGACACAGCAGCTTAAGTGAGACATTCTCTGGAAGAGTGACAAAAGCAGTTCATTACCTTGAAGAACCGATGAAATCAAACTGAAAATCAGGGAGAGATTCTTGCACTTCTGATGCATGACATAAGAATGCTGGGAAAAGGGCCAAGACAAAAGTGGAGGATAAAATCCTCCACTTTGTATTTGCCATTGCAGGGTTTCCATTAAATAGAATGCAAAGGGAGAGCAGAAGAACCCTGTATTCCCTTTGAGATAAGTAGTAGTTCTGAGAAACACAGAATCAATCTAAATTCTTTCAAGCTAATTTAGAGATCAAACAGTAGTTAAGATTTAAGGTGACAGTGCAGTGAACACTGTAAATCATTATTTGCTACAAAACTGTGGTTGGCCACAATCATCACTTTGCAAACTAAAAATTATTCTATAAAATGCCTAAGTATGGGAATAGAAAAATCATTGGAGATATGGTTACTAGTCTCTCAGAGTGACTCACTTTCCTAGGGGAAGCTGCTTAACCTCTCTCTCTGTGAAGCTTACTTCCTGATTGTATGTAAGGACACTACACCACCAACTTCATACATAGGACTGTCCTAAGGAAAGGACCATAACCCTACTACCCCCACTTTAGTTACTTTCTCTTACTCCCTCTCTCTCCCTACAACCAACCTAACTGCCTGACCATACAAGTGTTTATAAATTAAATACACAGGCTTAAAAAAATTACACATGGAACTATTTTTAAATCAACTTTAAGCTGGAAGAATATGAATTTTTCCAGTTAGTCATAATTAAGTTATAAATACTTTATAAAAGTTTTGAGTTAATAAAAACTGCCCAAATGTGTTTTTATCTTTAAAAGGGGTTAATTTGTCTTGAACAATCTAGGTTCCAAACACATATCACTAGCGACTGTTCTGCTTAGTCTTCACTTCCTCTGAGGTTGAAGGAAAATGAAAACGAAAAAATGAAAATCTTTCTAAAGATAATGTTCCACTCAAGTAGTGAAAAAGCAATAGACAGAAAAATAAGTTTACATGGAAGAGAAAATTAGTTGTTATGGCAGGGTAGAAGAGGGTGAAGATCTGAGTTTGAATTTCACTTGTGACATCTACTAACTGTGATCTCTAAGAAACGGAGGCTCAGAAAATTACTTGTATAATGGGGATAATACTGGTGTTACTTCAGGAAACTGTCAGGAAAGCTCATCATACAAGTGAGTTATTATTACTAGGATGGTGCTAGTAATTTCGAACTGAGCCATCCCAATTTTAGACATCAAGATCGAATATTTAAAAATATACATAGGAATAAACACACACACTAGAAGTCTAAATGCCAAGGAAAGGAGACCAGTTAAAATGTCTTATGTCACCAAATGCCTGTAATTACTGTTACATGCTTAAGAAGAATTCAAAATTCCAGCCCCTTCCAACATATGCTGATCTAGCCCAAAGGGTAAAACTTGGGCACAAGAATTCTTAGCAGAAGCAACAAAACACCTTAAGACTTCAAAGATGCTTGCCCAGTGACAATATGTTGTCAATGGCACACCGAAGACGGCATAACACGTTTTTTGTGCAAGAATCAGAGGAAAAGCCCGTGCAAACTCCTCATACAAGATGACTCTCTGAATTGGGCCACTTCCCGGAAACAAGTAAAGTAGTTCAAGGAAATTGAAACAAGTAAGACGTCTGCCTAAGTTGGTCTGGCCCTGGAGCCGCTTCCGCACAGGCAGGGGCTTCACTCGGGTTTTCTGGTGTCAGGGCAGCTCTAACTACGAATTTGAAGGATCCTTGTGCACGAAGCAGGAGCCGAGGAATCGAGAGCCCTGGGGGGGCTGGGGGGAGGGTGCACAGGGGGACGGACCGACGTGTCATTGGTGTAGGGCACTGCTCCGCCGGACAATCGGCGGGCACGGGGCACGGGGCTCGGTGCGGGCCCGGGGCCAGGTCTTCCAAACGCAGCCCGCCCAAGCGGCCCCACATGGCTCGGGGGCCCGCCCGCGGGGCCGCGGGGGCGCGGGGCCGGGGCAGCACTTGCTTCCCGCGGGGCCGCGTGTGTGCGGGGCGTGTGAGTGTGTGTGTGCGTGTGGCAGCCTTGCTCAGCCAGAGTGCAGAGGGAGCTCTCTCCAGCTCTCGGGGTCTCTTCTCTCAGCAGCAGCAGCAGCAGCGCCGCCTCTGCCACTCTGGACCACACAGAGACTACGGCGGGCGACGAGGCGGCGGCGGCCGGGCGGCGCGGGCACACGGTCGCCCGCGGCCCCCGGGGGCTGGCTGCCGGCCTCCCGCCGGGGCTGCGGGGCCCCGCGCCGCCCCGAGCGAGAGGCGAGCCACGGAGCGCCGGCGGCGAGGAGGCGGCCAGGCTGCGGAGCGGGACAGGCGGGGACGGCGGCGGCGGGGCTCGGACGCCCAGGAGGTTCCAGGGACGCGGGGGCGGCGGGGACGGCGCCGGGGCTGGGGGAAGGACGGAGCGAGAGGAGGCCCTGGGCGCGCGCGGGCGGGCAGGGAGAGCGGTCGCGGCCGGCCCGGGGCCTCCGGGCGGGCCGAGACAAAGGAAGGAAAATGGAGTCGGGGCCTTCGGGGCTCGGCCCCGCCCGGCCCTGGCCCCGGGCCTCGGGCCCCGCCGAGGCGGCGATGGCGGCGGCGGCAATGGCGGCAGGGAAATGGCGGCGGCCGGCGCCGCAGCAGGGACGATAGAGGGAGACAAACACCCCCCGGCGGCGGCGGCTGGTGCCGGGGCTGCAGCCAGCGCCAACCGGAGCGGCCCCATCGTGACACCTAGAGGCGGCCCGCGAAACCTCCCTGCAAACCCCGCGTTTCCCCCCTTACCTCCGCGCCGCGCCGCGCCACACCCCCCCGCGGCGCCCGCTCCTTCGCCTGCCCGGCCCGCTCCGGCCGTCCCGGCCGCCGTCCGGCCCGCTCCGGCCTCCCAGCCGCCAGCCGCCGCCACCGCCGCTCGGAAACAGGCAGCTCCGCGCACGGTTTAATCGCTCCACAGCCTCGGACACAAAATGGCGGCGGCGCGGCGCAGTGCGCCTGCGTCGGGGCTGCCGGTACTGCTGGAGCTGATAAGGGAAGCGGGGAGGGGAGGGGGGGGGAAAGAGAGAAGAGCAGGCCGGGCGGCGGGGGGAGAAGGAGGGAGGGTGACGGGCAGGGGAAGGGAGGAGGGGGGAGTAAAGGTGAGAAGAGGGAGGAGTGGCGCGGGGTATCATGGGAGGCGGCCTTAGGGCGCCAAGTTTCAAATGCCGGCGCGATGGCGTCATGGGGCACGCCGCGCGTCACGCGCCCGCCGGGCTCTGGGCCTCAGACCCCGGCGTGGTGCGCGGGTTTCCGCGAGCGTAGAGTCATCCGGGTCATCGCGTCCCTGCCCCCTGCGTCTCTTTCCCCGCCCGACGACGGGGCGGGGCGGAGCGGAGCGGGAACGCAAGCTGGGGGCTTTAGGCTCCTTGTCCCCCTGGGACCGGCCCGGCGCGGGAGGGAGCGGCGCGTCTGACGCTTCTGGCGGCCGCAGCTTCCCTCTACCTGGGGAACCCCGGCCTGAGCCTATTAAGAGAACCCCTCTCCCCCACCGAACCCGTCTGGCCCCGGGTCGTTCCAAAGCCCCCTCCCCCACCCCCGCTTAGCAGGTGAGTAACCGCACCCCCAGCGGAGTGAAGACCTCGCCCCAGGGGACCCCTACCCAAGTGTCACCTACCCCCTACTGTCAACTCCGGGGGCTCCCTCTTGCGCCCAGGGTCAGCCATCCCATGGGCATTGAGAGCCCTTCCCAGACTGGCCCCTCCTTACCTTCCTGGTGGTCTTTGGCTCACCTTCGCCCGGCCTCACTGTTCCTCCATCTCCCAGCTCCGTGCCTTTGCTCTAGCCCAGAGGTGGAGAGCCTGCGGCCTTTTGACTGAGTCCAAATTTTACAGAACAAATCCCCTTAATAAATGGAGTTGTTCTGTGAAGTTTGGATTCAAAGGGCCACGTGTGGCCTCAAGGCCGAAGGTTCCCCACCCCTGCACTAAGCCTCCTCTTGGTTCCTGGAGAATGCTGCCCCTCCTCACCTCACCAGCTGCCTTGGAGACTCGCCTCGGATCCCACCCTCTTCGAGAGGCCTTGTCCTGTCCCTTGAACTTTCTTCCCCCCAGCTAATGCCTCTGTTCTGAAATTAATTTCATTTTACATTGTATATGTCTTAGATGTGCATATTTCTTATATTGACTCTTCCTTGTAGGAATGAATGTGAACTCCTTGAGGGAAGGGACCCTGTTCTTAGCCCAGTCCTTTGCACTTAGTAAGCACTTAAAAATGCTTTTTGACTGGCTGACTGACCAAAACTCAGGGCAGAAAAAAACTTTCTCTCTCTCTCTCTCATATCTCAGGTCTCTCCTCACTTCATTCAACAAACATTCAGAGCGCCTTGTGAGGGAAGATACAAAGTTCAGAGAAGGCAAGGTACCTGCCCTCAAGGAATTTACCAACAAGACAGCCAAGACTGGTAGCTGTCCCACAATAATAGTGAGCAAGTTCCCTTGAGAGGTACAAAACAAGTATGTTAGGTGAGGTGCAAGGAGGAAGTTTGGAGAAGGTTTCCTGGAGGATGTGAGATAATAAATAGTCTTAAGTAAATATTTATTAAGCACCAGCTAGGTACTGTGCAAAGTGCAGGGAATACAGATGAAAAAAACCGGTCTCAGCCTTCAAGGAGCTTGCAGTCCAAATGAGGCAGAGAACATACAAAAGGATGTTGAGGGGGGAAGGGGCAGGGCAGTCAAAGATACCTGATGGGAGAAATCCAGAAAGTTCCCCAGTAGTTCAGCCCCCTAATAAAGATGTTTTGAGCTGGGCTGCCTCATTAAATGGAGGTTTTGGAGTTCTAGGCTACCTTCCAATCAGAGGGACAGAGGGTGGTGGTTAGGTGAAATCCCAAGATCTTATAGGATGATGAGGTTTTTCCCAATAATGAACTTCCTGGGGCATGATACAGATTTCCCAGCTAGGGAGAAATGATATTTGAATTAGCCTTTGAAGGATTGGAGCTGTAGGTAGTAATTTAGCTAGTGTATAGAGAGAGCAGATGTCCAGGCAAACCTGAGCAAAAGCCCCCATTGACAGGAAAGCACAGTGCATTTCATCTAGCCCCTAAAATGTGTTAGAGGGAAGAGGATTGGGCTTCACTCCAGGATGTACACCTCAGGCGGTGAAGGATCAGAAAGGCCAGACTCAGGGCTTGCCTTTTACATAATTCCTCCTGACATGATTACATCAGTGCTAGATCTCATCGCTGTTAGTATTTTCTCTACCCCTTATTGACTAAAGCTCCTTTGGCCACAGCCTGTCCTGTGTGACCCTGGTGCAAGACTTCACATACATTCTCTTTTGAGAATCATCTAACACATTGGAGGATTTTCTCTGTCTTTTTTTATCTATTGAAAGTATCTGGGCAGCTAGGTTGTTCAGTGGATAGAGCACTGGCACTGGAGTCAGGAGGACCTGAGTTCAAATGTGGCCTCAGACACTTACTAGCTTGTAACCCTGGGCAAGTCACTTAACCCCTATTGCCTCTACCCAACCACCCCAAAGTAGCAGTTCAGTTGTTACTCCATGACTGGCTCACCTTTTCTCCCTGTGACTTTCATGTAAGTCACAGCTTGTATTTTAGAATATTACCAAAAATGACTTTATGCCTCTCACAGCAGCATATATGTATGTATTGGGTGCTTTTATGAATATTTCCTGTCTCTCTTTTAATTGAAAGTTGAATACAGAGTTCATGTAGGCCCCTTGGGTCTAGTAGGGGATGCACCTGCACATTGTGGGCTCCAAGCAGGCTGTAAATAACAGCTGACTTATAACTGACTGAAAAATCACTCTGTCAAGAGATGCCACAATTAAGAGCTATTTGGTTCCCTTTAGCAGGACAGGGATAGAGTTCTCCTCACTATTGTAAGCTGCTTCCACTGGTTGGATTTAGGTACTTACTGGAGCTCACTCAGTTAAATTTAATTCAGCAAATGTTTATTAGGAGCAAGACAATATTGTGCGCAAATTGCCAGTTTTAAGAAAGTATCCATGGGGCTGGTGGAGGGGAACCATTCCACATTTCCCACAATTCCCTTACAGGTCCCAGCCATAGTGATCAAAAATGCTTCTACAAAAGGACTGGCAAAAACATGCCAAGGGGACCTGTGATCCAAAGCTTTTAAAATACTCAGTAACTTCTGTGTAGGTGTCAGAAATCTTTGTCAAGACCTAAAAGTTGCGAATGGACCTTAGAGATCTAGTCCAATTCCCTCATTCCACACGTGTGCAGACAGGCTCAGGGAAATGAAGGGACTTGCCGAAAGTCATACAGCTACTAAGAGCAGAGTGGGATTCATACCCAGGATCTCTTGAATCCGAATCTGGTATTCTTTCCAACACAAGGACACTACCAGACAAAAACAAGTTAGCCCTGAGTCATTTGGTTTCTGGTTTTCCTTGACCTGATGAGCCAAGCTACCTGTTCATTTCCAAAAATTGTGAAATTGCCTTCAAACCAAATTAATTCACTTCTAAAACTTCTTTTCCCTTAAATTCCCTGTTTCTTGAACTTCTCTTTGTAGGTAAGTTGCAGGAAAACTTTGTAAAGCTGTTTTGAGTGAGCAGAAAAATGGCAATTGAGCAACCATGAAGTTGGGAAAAAATGATTAAAACTCTGCTTACGGGATAGGTTCTGGCCTTTGTCCAGAACTTATCCAGAAGTCTGTCAAAATACTGAATGTTATCAGAGAGAGACCCTTTGACCAAATACCTGGAATACCTTAGGTGCCTGTGGAGAAAGACAACTAGGAGGAGATCGGAGAAGACAAACTAAAAACAATTTGAATGCTTCAGTATGGAAAGAAGACCTTTGAAAGAAAAACTTCAAACAGAATCTTGGTCTTGCTTAGAATCAGTTTTAATGAGCAGTTCTGTTCCTCCTTAAGTACCCTCCAAGTATAGATTTAGTTCTTTTTGCTTTACCACAGTAAAGCTCATTTGCTTGTTCTCTATCCACCCCAAAAGGCCTTAGATTGCATTGAATTCACTTCTCTGTATAAGTGGGACAGGGCTTAAAATTCTAGGATATTCTGAATTACAATCTGGGGACTCTCTTGGTGGCTGAGGAGGTAGTTAGGTGATCTGTATATAAAAGGAAACATTTGCATAGTATGTAATTACTTTGTAGTTACTAAACTCCTTATTCCTTCTTGGCAATACAAGCTGGAAATATAAATTCCTTATACACAGTTTTGGGCCGGTCTTGTGGTTTCATTTGTGTTGATGTTGATCTATAACTCGTTTGTAACTTAGAGATTGAGAAGCCTGGCCTCCGGCAGGACATCAGCTGATACCCCCCCCTCCCATGTTTCAGAAGCACAGCTTCGAACTCAAGACTGGCCTGTCCGTTTGACCATACTGGGTCTAAGGAAAAGAGATTAAGATAAATCCATGAATAAGAGATGCCTAAGGAGTTATTAAGAGAAGGGTGAAGCTTTTAAGTTATAGGTCCCCAAACCTTTAAGGTGGATCTTAGGAAAAGGCACTCTTACTTACACCCCTCCCTGTGTCTGCTTTCAGAAGTGGTACTAGTCTGCATGGACCACACATCTTTACCATTTATATTTTGTATCTTCTGACCATAACTAGATGTTAGTATCTACTTTGTGTTTTCTGACAAACGGGAGGGAGGAGTTTTTTGATTCTAGATCCTAGAGATGCAGCTTTTACTAAACACTTTCCTGGTAGGCAAACTGGGCCCAGCCATTGCTGCACCTCTACTTTAATCTGCCTTTCTCCACTTTCTTTGAGTATGAGGAAGAATTCTTCACAAGGCCTGAAGCAACTGCTGGCGGAGTAGACCAAGCAGAGTCCAATATGAGGAACATTGTGATAGAGTGGACAGAGTACTGGACTTGGAGGCAGAAAGACTTGGGTTCTGATCTTACCTTAGGTACTTAGTAGCTGTGTGGCCTTAGGCAGGTACCTTATTCTTTTTCACCATTATTTCCTCTTTGCCAACCATTTGCTTCCCACAGGGTAGTCAGGCCACCCAGTTAAAGCAGCAAGGTGCTCTGGGAAAGACAGAAAGCAGAATGTTCTAGAAGTCACCACTGAGCGACCACCATATCGCCTCAGGCTGTGATGGAGACAGCCCAGAACCCTGAGCCCAAAAGCCTTGGGAATTGTCCAGTGCCCTCAGCCATCATTCTGGGAAACCACTAACCTGTGGAGAGGATTTGCAGGGGCTGCAGCCACAGCTCCAGAAGACCCAGAAAAGAAGGTTCTTGCTACCAAAGTCCTTGGCTCTGTCAAATCATTCAGCATCAGAAATGGATGTCGTTTTATTAATGGAAATGACAGCAAAGAAGAGGCATTAACATCTGCTTTGCTGCTGTACTCTAAGTACTATGGGATTCCACCTGACTTAGACCTGAAACCTTCCATATATTATGATAATAATAATAGCTAATAATAATTTATGTGGGCTGCTAGGAGGTACAGTGGGTAGAATGCTGGGCCTGGAGTTAGGAAATCCTGAGTTCCAATCTGGCCTCATATACTCACTAGCTGAATGACCCTCGGCAAGTCACTTCACCCTGTTTGCCTCACTTTCCTCATCTGCAAAATGAGCCTGAGAAGGCAATGGCAAACTGCTCCAGTGCCTTTGCCAAGGAAAACCCCAAATGGAGTCGCGCAAAGTTGGACACAAACAACTACAAAGCATTTGTGTAGGACTGGCCGGTTATGTGCCAGGCATATGCCAAGTATTTTACAAATACTATTTAATCCTAACAACAACCCTGGGAGGGGGTGTGCTACTGTTATCCCCATTTTGCAGTTAAGGAAACTGAGGCATACAGGTTAAGTGAGTTGCCCAAGGTCACAGAATTTGAACTGGGTCTTGACTCTGGGCCCAACACTCTATCCACTTAGTTCCTCCCATTAGAATGTGAGCTCCTTGAGAGCTGGGGACTGTCTCATCTTTCTGTTTGTCTCCAGATTTGCACATAGTAAGTGATTGATTCAGACATTCCTTTTTAAGGTGAAGGGGATGGGCTTGATGACCTCTAAGGGCCCTTCCTGCTTTATGGCTATGATGCTAAGTGCTCTGATCCTCAGAGAGCCTGCTTTGAGATCTCACTGAGGCATGAAGATTCTGGGAATGTCTGTAGTTGCTTGTAAACTGTGGCAAGTCCTAGTGAGCTGAAGTAACTACTGAGTAAGTCCAAGGCCTTGGACTGTTTGAAGAATAACCTCATTGAGTTGAGAGAGACTCCTTATTGAGTGAAGCTTGACCCTTAGATGATTACTATTTTTTAACCATAGCCTCGGATGAAAACAGTCTCTCTCAAAGTATTGCACTGTAGTAGTGTTGGGGGTGTGGTGTGGTAGGGTGTGGTCTTCAGTCAACAAGCTTTTCTGTGTGCTAAGTACTGTATTAAGGACCAGAGATGGAATTGTTCTTGCAGTTGAAAAGCTTGTATTTTGTCACAGGAGAGAGCTGCCTGTTGGAAGTATTGAAACCAAGACCTGATAATCTAAGCCTTGTAAATCAGAAAACTCCTAGCAGTAGCTGCCAAATTCAGTCTTTTTTTTTTCCTCCGGAACATTCTGAAGGTCCTCTTGGGACCACTGGTATTCTCTACTCATTTACCTCTTTCCTCTGCTCAGGCTAAAATAACTTTTCTCGCTTATTTCATTTGATCCTTACAAGAATCCTATAAGGTGAGCAGAACAGATTATTCCCATTTTACAAGGGAGTATACTGAGAATACTGGTCTTTAATATTGACTATATAAACTTTATGGGAGGCGGGGAGTGCTCTGCTTGCAGTAGACACTTAGTAAATGTTGGAGGAAAGACCTAAAACCACACTGTTACTTAGTGGCAAAGACTAGCTTAGGACTACGAGTATGTAGTGCAGTGAGTGTAAATCAGGAGAGACCTGGGTTCATATGTCATCACTGACACTCAGTAACTAGGTGAACTCAGAAAAGTCATGCAGTGCTCTGAGCCTTGCTTCAGTTTCCTCAGGTAAAAAATAAAAGATGATAGTACCGATGTTACTTACCTCATAGGGTTGTTGTGAGGCTCAAATGGTATCATTCCTCATTTCTCACCACACCACTTTGGGACTTGTCAGACTTTCTACGATGCCCCAGGAAGCTCATTATTGGGAAAACCTCATCAGCCTTGGGCCTCCACCTCATCCTCACTCTCTGATTGTAGGGTGGATCCATGAACTCCAAAACCTCCCTTTAAGGAGGGAGCCCAGCTCAGTACATCTTTCTTAGGGGGCTGAACTACTCTGAGATGTCTCTAAATTAACTACCTGGGCTGTCTCTCACTCCCTCCTTTTCAGTTTCTTTTTGTTGTCTTTTCCCATTAGATTGAAAGCTTCTTGAGAGTAGGGACTGTTTTCTTTATTTGTAACCCCAGCACTTAGCACAGTGCCTGGCATAAGATAGGCACTTCATGAATGTGGATTGACTTTATACTTTATACTCCAGTTGTGGAGACTGGAGATCGAATATCATGTAAGTGCCAAACAGGAGTTTCTATTTTAACTTAAAGATAATAGGGAGCCATAGAAACTTCTTGAGCAGATAATGATGTGGTCTGATCTGAACTTTTTGGGTAGCTGTATGAGGAAGGGTGGATTGGAGAGGGGAGGAACTGAATGCAGGGAGATAAGTTAGGAGGCTAGTATAGGAGTTTGGGTGAGGGCCTAAACTAGAGTGGTTATGATTTATGTAGGGAAGAAGGGATGGTTGTGAGAAATGTTTCTAATCAACATCTATTATGTGCATCTCTCTATTGTTACCACCATCTGTTACCACCATCATCGTGGTACAGACCCTCATCACTTCTTTGGACCTTTGCAAATGGTCTGATAACTGGTCCCCCATTCAAGTCTTTTCTCACTCCAACCTATCCCTTCACTCAAAACCAAAGTGAATTTCCTAAAGCTTAGGTCTGATCATGTAACCTCCTCTACTGGTAAGCTCTAGTGATTTCCTTCAGGACCAAATGTAAAATCTCTTGTATTTAAAACCCTTTACAACCTAGACCCTTTCAACTTCTCAATCTTTTTGCATTGACTTCCCTCTGTGAGTTCTAAGAAACTATATTTACAACTTGCCTGGAAGGCTTTCCTTCCTCGTCTCCCAAGCTTTCCTTCCTCATCTCCCAATTCCTGACTTCTGGTTTTCCAATTTCTGGTTTCCTTCAAGACTTAGCTCTGCTGTCCCCTTCACCATTCCTGTTTCCCTCTCAGCCTTCGCTCTGATACTACACTCTACTTACAGTGTATAAATGCTGTTTGTGTGTGTCGTCTGCCCTGTTAGCACGTGAGCTCCTTGAGGGCAGAGGCAGTGTCTTTGCCTTTCTTAGTATCCCCAGAACTTGGCACAGTGTCCGGCACATAATAGATACTTAATACATGTTGTGTTGACTGACCAAAGGACTGACAAGAGTAGTCAAGTGATTGTATATGGGACAGGGGTGAAAGTGAGGAGTTGAGTATACCTCCCTCCTGAGCTGTGGACCTGTGTGACTAGCAGAATGGCGGTATCCCCGTTAGAAATGGAGAAGTTAGGAAGAAGGATGGTTTGGGGGGAAAGATAGTTCTATTTTGGACATGGTGATTTTGGTTCGTCTCTGGGGCATCCAGGTAGAGGTGTCAGGAAAAAAACAACAGGCATATACTGAGTACCTGCTATCTGCTAGGACTGTGCCAGATGTTTTACAAGTATCTCATCTGATCCTCACCACAATCCGAGGAGGTGCTGTTCTGTTTTCCAGTTGAAGAAATTGAGGTTGATAGAGGTTAAGTGACTTGCCCAGGGTCACACAGCTAGTAAATATGAGGATTGAATTCAGGTCTTCCTCACTTCAGAGATGCAGGACTTGATTTCAGAAGAGAGATGGGTACTGGTTTGTAGATTTAGAGGTTATTTACCTAGAGACAAATGTTGAATCCATGGGAGTTATTGAGATCACAGAAAAAGAATATAAAGAGAGGGGAGGATGGTGAATCTACTAAAGGAGACTGAGAAAGCTCACACTGACAGAAACATGAAGTAATTCCACAGAAACCCAAGTAAGAGAGAGTATTTTGAAGATGGGAGGGGTTAGCAGCATGAAGTGTTGCAGAGAGGTCAAGAAGGATAAGGACTGAGGAAAGGCCATTGAATTTGTCAACAAAAAGATCGTTGGTGACCTTGCAAGAAGTTTCCCTTGAATGTTG